CCCCAAAACCCCAAAACCCCAAAACCCCAAGTCAATTATTCAATGTTGGAACTTTTGCTAACAAACCATAATTCTCTCAAGATACAACTCAATTAAGACTTCTTAGCCCCAAATGCGCTAATTTCGACCATTTCACCTCTCTCAAATATACAAAACTGTGCTATAGACCCAGCTGGAAGAATTCTTTTCAGCCTTGATCAGAGTGCTAAACCTGCTCTACCAAATCTGGCTCTTATTTATACCTAATTATCATGCCTGGTTCAGATAAATTTAGCTAAAGCTTCAATTCCCATCAGCCAAACCAAGTAGATGGGCTATTCACTTTGGGATGAGTTCAAGAATTTTACTAGAAGAGGGCACCCTCAGAAGGATTCTAGCCGACTAGATTTGTACTATAAAAGGACTAGAGCAACATGCATGGGAAACTTCTATTAGGTGAACAATCTACCAGAGGACTGCTTATGTAAGCAAGAATTCTGTACTAAATTAGCCTACATTCTTAAGCCTTTTTGTATAAATGTCCGGTTCTTGATTTCCCCAAAGCTCCATTCCGGTTGTGATTCTTAGTAATCTTCATCTCAAATTTAAAGTCTGTTGGTGGATACTGGAATGAATGGGACAGATCCTTCACTCAATCTTTCTCTGGATGGCTCTGGCCCTGCAAATTAGGTGAGAAATATGATATAAAATCATTCTTTGAAGGTATATGTGATCTATAGTGTCTGGCCTTTACCTCCTTATGAGCCGAGCTAGTATTAGAAGAGATTACATGATTGTCATTCCATTCTGATCCAGCTATTCCTACATTCCTCTTCCGAAGTAAAGGTCTCATATAGTGTTGTGGATATATCATTTTATTGATGCTAGAAGTGAGATTGAAAACTTACTGATCCATATTCTCTTGGTTTTCCCATCCGTCATTCACCATTGATCTCGTATTTTTCTTATGATCAACTTCGTACTGTGCTCCTTTACGCTGGTTGGTTAGGACATTCACAAAGTGCTTTAAGTTAGTAATCTCTCCAGTATTCATGCTGAACTGTTTATTAAACAAAAGATGAGACTTAGTGATCTTCCGCTTTCTTCTCTTAGCCACACTGCTTTTTCGACTATTTATTCCAGAGAGCAACTTCTGGTTTTGCTTTTTGACCTTCTGGGAGGATATATAACTACTTTTGGGCCTTCAAAGGCTTCGTTCCATCCGTTCAAGAGCACTAGAATCTCATTGAATCCTTACGTTTGCTTAGTGCTGACTTTTAAGTTATTTGATGAGCTTTTATTACTCTTATTTGAAGGGGCTAGTCTAGTCATGGGAATCATACCTTCAATCTCATTAAATCTTTTAGAGATCTTAATTTAACCGAGTTTTGTGCTCCTTTCTCCGAGAATTCATAGTTTGTCTTCCTAGAGATTAGAATTCAAGCATACCTTCATAGTAGGAATATTCCATCTGAGGAGTGGTAACTGAGATGTTCTTATACTCTTTGATTATTTTATCCGGATCAGTTGCAGTGAAATCATAAGCATCTATATTAATCAAATCTGGAACTTACTGAAACCAGTTCGTTCATGCCTCTTCTGTCTCGACCTATAATTAGCAGTTCGAGGTCTCTGGCTCCTACTGCAAGGAGCAGGAGCAGGCTTTTTAAACGAATTATGGTAACTCCTTCCTCCAAACTTTTTATTTTTATGTAAAGGTGTTCCATGTTGCTACAAAATAGACGATAAAATTACAGATTTGAGGCGCTTGTATCGCTTCCCAGCTTTTATAGCTGGACTGTGATTATTAGCTCACAAGCTGATCCTGGAATCATTTAAAGAGTCACTATGTAGGTCCTGGTTCAGATTCATTCGGTGGTAAATAATTTCAAATATTTTAATTGACAGTGGGGTTTTGGGGTTTTGGGGTTTTGGGG